TAAGCAGGGAAAGCATTTGCTATAAGCTGTTGCCTCTGACCAGTGGCTAAATGGCTGAATAATTAATGTGTCAACCACCCTGTGTCTTTAACAAAAAACTGAAATGATCTGGAAAGAAGGTGATGGAACATCATAAGGACTTGGAAGAAGCAAAAGGAATACCTCATGAAGCACTGTGGACTGGTGTTATTGAACTTGGTTTCTCCAGTATTTTCCCTCCAGCCGAAAAACCAACAGTTTGTCTGCATAATTTGATAATTCAGCTTTTTTTGCTTATGATTCAAACTGATTTACTGCAATAAACAGTAGTTTCTGAAGTACAAAATCCTTGCCAATGTTATCTATTAACCTGAGGCCATCAGATGGATAAGCTGTGGGATAACTTTGATGCAGATTGGCAAAGGCCAAGGCTTTTGGGAACCTACTATTATGCACAGGAATCTGAATCTGAATTTTATATTATCCATATATTATGAAATATTTATTTAATACCAAATGGATAAATGTAAAGGATTTAACAATGTCAATTTGCAAATATATATAACACAAAAAACCTTTATGAAATTAAGCATTCCAAGGTGCTTCACAGGAGTGATATCAAACAAAATGTGAAGCCAAATCAAGAAGATGAGAATGGCTGTGAATTTCATATCTGTAGTGCTGCCTCCAGTGATGCTGTAAAGACTGAACACTGTGTAGTTAGTAAGCAGCATTTCCCTTTGTGTGTGCACCAGAAGCCTTAGAAGGCGAGTAACTCATCTCCTGACTCCCCAAAGCCTGTCCACCATCCACAAGGCACAAGTCAGGAGTGAGATGGAATACTCCCCACTTGCCTGGATGAGTGCAGTCCCAACAACACTCAAGAAGCTTGACACCATCCAGGACAAAGCAGCCTGCTTGATTGACACATCTACAAGCATCCCCTCCCTCCACCACTGACGCTCAATGGCAGCAGTGTGTACTATCTACAAGATGCACGGCAGAAATTCACCAAAGATCCTCAAACGGCACCTTCCAAACCTACGACCGTTTCCATCTAGAAGGACAAGGGCAGCAGATACATGGGAACACCACCCCCTGCAAGTTCCCCTCCAAGCCACTCATCATACTGACTTGGAAATATATCGCTGTTTCTTCACTGTCGCTGGTTCAAAATCCTGGAATTCCCTCTCTAATAGCATTGTGGGTCAACCCACAGCAGGTGGACTGCAGTGGTTCAAGAAGGCAGCTCATCATCACCTTCTCAAGAGCAACAAGGCATGGGCAATAACTGCTGGGCAGCCAGCAATGCCACGTCCCACAAATGAATAGAGATAAAAAAGCTCCCAATCCTTTTTGAGGAAATCTTTGAGGGTCTTTTGCTTCCATACAGAACTATAGCATCTCTCCTCCTGCCACCTCCAACGCTAGTCCTTTCAGCTCTGAACCCCCACTCTGCTGTACTGTCCCAGTTTACATGTTTTAAATTGGAGAAGTATTATTCAGTGCTGTTTCCCTTTAACCCAGACAGACCCTGTTATTAGCAAGAGCAGGCTGACTGCACAGGATTAAATGACTTCTAAATTTGTGCAGAGGCAGACTTGTGGGAATCATAAAGTTAGAGATGGAGAAGAGATCAAATTTGTGAAGCAGGCAGTAGGATTTCGACAGCTAAAAGCACAACTACCAATGGTGGAATGATGAACGTTACAGATGTACAAAAGTTCTGAATTTGGGAAGCACAAAGATCTCAGAAGATTGTAGGTCTGGAGATAGTTACAGACATGGGAGAGTTATGGCCATCAAGGAACTTGAAGGTAATGGTGAGAATTTTAAAATCCAACAATTGCTGAACTGGGAACCAATGCATTGAACACAGGGTTGCTGGGACATAGTAATTGGTTTTGAGTTGGCATCGAGGGAGTACAGTACTGGATAGCCTGAAGGTTACAGAGGATACTGGTGTAAATTTAGCTAGGAAAGCTTTGTTATGATCACAGGGTAATAAAGGCCTGGATAGGATTCCAGCAGCATGGCAGCTGGAAGATATTTCCTTAGATCAAATAGTGTACATATGATCCAGAGGGTCATGGGTCCTACAGACTTTACATTCATTCTCCATTGTTAGTTTTTGGCATATCCAACACAGTTTCATGTGTATTAATGGTGTTACTGCTCAGATAAACCTGTTGCCCAGCTACATGATCCACATTCCCTTCAACTTTAAACAAATGCAAAAACACCATGAACTGTTGTTAACTGTTGACTATTAATTACCATGAGAATCAATCATTTTGAGCTAATGATCAATTTCCCCTTAATATATCCAGTGATATTGTAAACAAAAAACCTCAAGAATGGAAAAAAAAATTAGATTAGGGAGACATGAGATAGCTTTGGCAAATAGGGTTAAGGAGAATCCAAAAGGACCCTACAAGTACATTAAGTTCAAAAGAGTAACTAGGGAGAGAACAGGGTCCCTTAAAGATCAGCAAAGCTGCCTATGTGAAGAACCGCAGGAGACGGGGGAGATACTAAACGAGTATTTTGCATCAGTGTTTACTGTGGAGATGGATATGAAAGCTAGAGAACTTGTGGAAATAAACAGTGATATCTTGAATAATGTCCATATTACAGAAGAGGAGCTGTTGTACATCTTAAAATACATAAACATGGATAACTCCCCAGGACCGGGAAGTGCCTGGTGGGCACCTTGATGAGATATTTGTATCATCAATCGCCACAGGTGAGATGCCAGAAAATTGGAGGTTGGTTAATGTGGTGCCACTATTTAAGAAAAATGGTAAGAAAAAGCCAGGGAACTATAGGCCGGTGAGCCTGACATCAGTGGTAGGCAAGTTGTCAGAGGGAATCCTGAGGGCCAGGATTTACACATATTTGGAAAAGCAAGACTGATTAGGGATAGTCAACATGGCTTTGTGCTTGGGAAATTGGGTCTCACTGACTTGATTTTTTTTGAAAAAGTAACAAAGAGAATTGATGAGGGCAGAGCAGTGGGCGTGATCTATGTGGACTTCAGTAAGGCGTTGGACAAGGTAGACTGGTTAGCAAAGTTAGAGCACATTGAATACAGGGAGAACTAGCCATTTGGATACAAAATTGGCTTGAATGTAGGAGACAGAGGGTGATGGTGGATGGTCCCTATTTGGACTGCAGGCCTGTGACCAAGGGTGTGCCGCAAGGACCAGTGCTGTGTCCACTGCTTTTTGTTATATATATCAATGATTTGGATGTGAATATAGGAGGAATAGTTAGTAAGTTTGCAGATTAGACTAAAATGGCAGTGTAGTGGGCAGCCTTCAGAGTACAAAAGGACCTTGATCAGATCGGCTGATGAGTTGCAGATGGAGCTTAATCTAGATAAATGTGAGGTATTACATTTTGGTACGGCACATCAGGGCTGGACTTATACATTTAATGGTCAGGTCCTGGTGAGTGTTGCTGAACAAAACAGATGTTGGATTGCAGGTTCATAGTTCCTTGAAAGTGCAGTCAAAAGTAGACAGGGTAGTGAAGACATCTGGTACACTTGCCTTTATTGGTCAATGCATTGAGTACAGGAGTTGAGAGGTCATGTTGCAGCTGTACAGGACATTGGTTGGGTCACTTCTGGGATATTACATTCAATTCTGGTCTCCCTGCTATAGGAAAGATGTTGTGAAATTTGAAAAGGTTCAGAAAAGATTCACAAGGATGTTGCCAGGGTTGGAGGGATTGAGCTATAGGGAGAGGATGTATTTGGTGGGGCTATTTTCCCTGGAGCATCGGAAGCTGAGGACTGACCTTATAGAGGTTTATAAAAGCATGACTTGCACAGATAGGGTGAATAGTTAAGGTCTTTCCCCTGGGTAGGGGAGTCCAGAATTAGAGGGTATAGGTTTAAGGTGGCAGGGGAAAGATTTACAAAGGACCTAAGGGGCAACTTTTTCACACAGAGGATGGTGCATGAATTGAAATGAGCTGCCAAAGTGGTGGAGGTTGGTACAATTACAACAATAAAAGGCATCTGGATGGATATATGAATAGGAAGGGTTTAGAGGGATACGGGCCAAATGCTGGCAAATGAGACTTGATTAATTTAGGATATCTAGTTGGCATGGATGAGTTGATTGACGGGTCTGTTTATGTGCTGTGTCTCTGTGACTCTATAAAAGAGACAATTAATTGATTCAGCTTGAAATAACACCAACATCATTGTGCATGATATGGACAGCACAGCAACTGTGAATCAACTGATTTAACCTGGCTTCTTGGCTTTTGGACATGTGGAGAGATTCATAGAAAAGATAGATTATCCAAAAAAGCAACAGCTTTTAAAATGCTGTTGCTTTCATTTCTGGATAGCCTACATTTCTCACTGCAGCTGATCAGCATGGACAAAAATGATATGTTGCCAAGAGTGTACTTGAGACCTTGCAAGGCTATATTCTAAAATCAATCATGTGCTGAGGTCTGTTGGTTAATTAAGACTGCCTAGATATTCTCCTGGAAGTAGTGTAACAGAAGTGAGTGACTGCATTGTTGGTAGAGATACAATGGGCCAAATGTCCTTCAGGCTTGTATATGATTTTGGACTGCGGAGTACCCTGTACTCGTATCCTGTACCAAATGTGGCAGAAGGTGATAAATTGAGTTCATGCTGCCTCCCGTGTCAAATGGTCATGGGGACAGGTGTGAACATTGCTCAACAAAACGAACAGTGTCAAGATACCTCTACTCACCAATTCTAACAAAATACGGCAAACGTTGTTTTAACTGGCACCTTATGAACCAGCACTCTCAATAAACTGGCAAAAATTACATACCTCAAATACCACAAAGTTTACTATATTATTCTGTCCAACTATTACAGTTTTTACATTTATTTACCTTAATGTAAATCTACTTGTTCTTCAATCAAATGACCATATGAAATATCAACAGTTGATTCAATTTCAAGTTAATGTCTCCTCAAATACCGTGATGTCTGAGTAGTCAGTTGAGGGTGCAAGTGAGAAGGCTCTCTGTCGCTAAGTTTTATTTTAAGCAAAGTTGCATTTATTATTTAAGTGAATTACGCTGTAAGTAAAGTAAAACAATGATCTGTATACCCCCTGCATGACGTTTCTATGACTTAGTGTGTGGTTTTACATTAATAATGTTGACCTCTTGATTATCCTGAATATTTGATCAACCAGCACACTCTTGGTCCCATAAAAAGCTTCCTATACATGTTTATGTTATGTGTGTTACAATGGACGGATGACCTAATGTGTCATCAGTTAAGTTGCACAGAAAATGACTCTTAACTGCCCACTTGTCCTAGCCGGCAATGCCCTTATCCCGTGAATGAATATAACATTATCCTTCACCTCATTCTGGTGGATTTTAATTCCAGTAATTTATACATCTGCAATTCGAAGCTAGTCGCAATAATGGTATCTTGAGTGCTGACCTTTGTAAGACACTTATGTTTTGAAAATTCTATTTAAATCCAAAGTGAAATTACTTTTGTCTGAGACAAGAAGATCGAATGATATCTGCCAATATTATCTTTAGACTTCTGGTAAGTGTCTGCATGATGACCACCACACAGCACCTGTGAAGACAACGTCCTGGCTTCACATTGAATAGATCCTCCATCACAATAAGATAAAACAAAAAAATGTGGATGCTGATATCTGAAACAAATAACAGAGATTGCTGGAGAAAAGCTTTGTTTTCGAGCAGTACAGGAAGATCATAGTAAGCAAGGATGTACAGATCAGAGGTTGTAAATAGGTTGTAGATAGGCTGGGACTTCTTTCACTAGAGCGTAGGAGGTTGAGAGGCGACCTCATTGAAGTTTAAAAATAATGAGAAGTATAGATAGAGTTAATGGCAGTTGTCTTTTCCCTAGGCTGGGGGATTTCAACACTAAGGGGCACATTTTTAAGGTGAGAGAAGGGAGATTTAAAAAAGACATGAGGGGCAAATTTTTTATGCAGAGGGTGGTTTGTGTGTGGAATGAACTTCCTAAAGTGGTGGATGTGGGTACAATTCCAACATTTAAGTGACATTTGCATAGGTATATGAATAGGAAATGTTTCAAGGGATATTGGCCAGGAGCAGACAGATAGGACTAGTTTAGTGTGAGATTATGTTCAGCATGGAGTGGTTGGACTGAAGGGTCTGCTTCCATGCTGTAGGACTCTATGACTCTAGATCTATCAGCATCTGTGGAGCAAAAACAAAGTTTATGTTTCGAGTCCAGTGACCCTTCATCAGAACAAGTGTGAAGAGGAGGGATTTTAACGATAAGATCAAGTAGAGGGAAAGTTTGGTAGAGGTATACAAGATAGTGACAGGTTTAGATAGATAGACAATTACCTGATTGTACAATAACTAGGGGACTTGGATTTAGGGTTTCTGGAAAGGGATGCAAGGGGAATGTGAGGACAACCGTTTTTTTTTGCACTGAATGGTACTGACCTAGAATTGACTGCCTAATGTGTGCTGAAAGCAGAAACAATGATTTTAACCGAAAATTGGATGGGCTTTTGAAGAAAATAAACTTGCAGGTCCATAGGGATTGTGTGGCGAATGGACTGATTGGACTGTTCTGTAGAGAGATGGCTTGCACTGGATAAGCTGAATGTCCTCCTCTTGTATCATGAATGATTCTGAATTTGTACAAAAGGTGGTATCTGCGGAAGCTCGGCTCCTGCAACCGGACCAATCAGGGATCTTTAAACGGATAAAACTGGTGATCCTGTAACCTGGAGGAAGTAAAATATCAGAATAAGTTATCTCATTTGCCAGAATTTAGTTTTATATTAAAGGGAGGAAAAGAATTCCTCTACTTTATTTTAGCAGAATTCCATCCAAACCCAGAGATACTTCATCTTGTCTCACTCTCCTAATCAGTCTCCAAACCTTTTTAAATCCCAACAGATCTAATCTGACTCACCATCTCACTCTCAAATCCCTTAATATTGCAGTCAATCTAATGTCATTCCCTTGCTCACTTCTGCAAACTTCCATATCCTCCTCAATTTAATCCCATTTCCCTGCTTACTCCCTATATTCTTTAATATTTTGCTCAGTCTAATACCACTTTCCCCATCATTTCCCATAGTCTAATATCTCACTTAGACCAATCTCAGTCTCCTGCTCATTCCCTCTTCCATTTAAAATCCCAAACTATTTTGTTCCATGGTCTGCCCCCAATATGCTTCACTCAGAGAAGGTAAATTCACATACAATCAACTTACAGAGTTAACTGACAAACTCTCCAATTCCTGTTTAATGCAAGCAGTGACTGAAGGTCCTCATCCATCAGCTCAAAGTCAAAAATCTGCATCAAAAACAAAGTCAAAGTCAAAATGGAACTTCAGAGACTCTGAGCCAGGAGAATGATTAATCCCCAGAAGATGACCAACTCCAACAAGTTAAGAACGGCTAAATCACTCACTAGCAACATTTTAAAAAACTCATTCATGGGTGGATGTTTCTGGTTGCCCAACATTTACCGCCCATCCATAAATGCCAGAGGGCATCTAAAGGCAACCACATTGCTGTGGTCGAGAATCACATGTAGGCCAGACCATGTAAGCATAGCAGACTTCTGTCAAGAACATTGGTGAAACAGATGGGTTTGAATGACAATTGACAGTTATTACATGATCTCCAGGAGAACTCTTTAATCCAGATTTTATTGAATTCAAATTCCACCGTCTGCCACAGTGGTATTTAAATCCACGTCCCCAGAACATTGACTGTTGCTGCGTCAAAATCCTGGAACGCTCTCTTTAACAGCACTGGGGGTAAACTGACTCCCCAGACCTGCAAAGCTCACCAACACCTAGGCAAACAGAGATAACGTCCTACATCCATCTGGACAGGACCAAGGTTTAATGTCTCATCTGAAAGACAGACTGAGTGTGGGAGTGGGGATGGGTGGGGGAAGGAAATTGACAGGATTCAACCTATCCCACCCAATCTTGCTCAGGACGAAGGTGACTTGAGTTTTCCAAAATCAAGCATGGCTTCATTATTATTGATTGCCAAAATTGTTCAATATCCATGCAATAGGACAATAATTTTGTCATCTTTTAAACCCATTCATTCCAGGAATTAACATGAATTTGAATTAGGTTTTATTGTCATGTGTTACTTAAGTACAGGGATGCAAGAATTCAGTGAAAAGTATACAAAGTTGCCTTTACTGGCACCACCTTAGGTACAAAGATACCTAAGTACAAAAATAGAAAAATAAGGAAATAAATTAAAAAGCTCAACATGACAGACTTTCTTAAGCCATGGGCCAGTGGATGCTCCATGCTGGGCTTTCCCCACAAAGGCTTACTCTTCCCCGTGCTGGGCAGACCTTCATCCACTAAGACCCACCTGGAACTAACTGGCTAATTCAGTGCAATTTACATGCAACATTATGAACTTTGCCTGGAGATACGATATCCTTTATGTAATACAGGGTTAGATAGTGGACCTCAAGGTGTATTATCCACATCACGTTTTGTTGCAAAAATATAACTTTCAGAAAGGAAAACTGTGTTTGACAATTTTTTTTTGGAATTCTTTGAGCATATAATAACCTGGATGAATAAATGGGAAACACTCGATGTAGTGTACACTACACAGGGTTACTATAGTTAGCTAGGTTGGCTGGACAGCTGGTTTGCGACACAGAGTGACCCCAGTTAAATTACCATGAATTTCTTGTCTTCTTAACCTTGTCCCTTCCCTGAGGTGTGGTGACCCTTAGGATAAACTCACCATTGTTGTTGCTCTCTCATGGGAAAGCAGCCCTATGGCCCTCTGAAACTATGGTGACCACTTTTACTCCACAAGATAAAAACTCATGGTATTGGGTTGAATTTAATGTTGACAGAGGATTCGCTAGCTAATAGGAAACAGAGAGTCACAATAAATGGGTAACTTTCAGGTTTGCAAACTGCAAGCATTGGAATGCTGCAGAAATCAGGGCTGGGGCCTCAATTTTTTTATAATTTCTATTAATGACTTAGCGAAGGCTCTGACTGTATTGCAGCTAGGTTTGCTGATGATATGCAGATGGATAGGAAAGCAAGTTGTGGGAAAGATGTAAAAAGTCTGCAAACAGATATAAATAGGTAAGTGGCAAAAGCTGGGAGATGAATGTAATGTCTCCCAACTCGGCACTAAAGTAGCATTAAACGTAATATTATTTAAATGGAGAGAGACTACAGAATGCTGTGATACAGGAGGATCACGGTGTCCTTGTACATGAATCATGAAATATCAGTACAAAGGTACAACAAGTAATCAGGAAGGTAAATGGATTGTTGACCTTTATTGTAAGGGGAATGGAATATAAAAGGAAAAGAAAGTGCTGGGAAAATGCAACAGGTCTGGTAGCATCTGTTGAGAGAAAAACAGAGTTAACATTTCAAGTCAAATGATCCTTCAACAGATCGGACAGGCCCAGCAAGAGAGAGAAAGGGTGAGAGCGAGATAGAGAAAACAAAGGGATTGCTAACAAGAAGCTGGGAGAGAGATAAATACTTTTTGCAAATTTGTCTCTCTCTGGGCACTATCTCCATCTATTCGATTCAGTCCTCTCCCCTACACCCCCAAATCCAACCTCCATCATCAACATAAATACCATCATTGCCCAGCTGCTTTTTCTCCACAGATGCTGCCAGGCTTGCTGAGTTTCTTCAGCAATTTGTGTTATTGTTTCAGATCTCCACCATTCACATTTATTATAGCAGGGAGTTTTGCTACAACTGTACACAGCATTAATGGGGCTGCATTTAAAATACTGCATACAATTTTGATTCAGAGAATATTTCCAAGGCTGATTTCTGAAACAAGGGGTTTATCTTTTGAGGAAAGACTGAGCGGGTTTGGCCTATACTCATTTGTATTTGGAATAATAAAAGATGGTCTTTTTGAACCATAAAGTTCTGAGTGAGTTTAATAAGGTAGTTCCTGGCAAGCTGTTTCCTCCCCAGACTAGGTCGCAGTTTCAAAACAAGGAGTCTTCTATTTAAGATGGAGATGAGAAGAAATATCTTCATCCGTAGGGTCATTTGTTTTTGGAATTCCTTTCCAGACAGCAGTGGAAGTTGGGTCATTGATTATATTCAAAAATAAGTTATTAGGAGTTGAGATATGGAAGACACACAGGAAAGTAAAGTTCACACCATAATCAGATTAGCTATGATCTTTTTGAATGGCAGAGCAGGCTTGAGGGGCTAAATATCCTACTTCTGTTCCTATTTCTGATGATCTGGCCTGTGGTACGAAGCAAATAGAAAAAGGGAACGTTTTCTAAATCAAAACAAAGTCAAATCATAAAAATGTTGCCTCTTTGCTCATGGGTCTAGACTTCTTATCTCCAAGAGATTCCACATTTCTTCTCTCCATTCCCAGAGACCATCCCCCACTGAGAGATCCCAATCACCACGAAAGCAGTTTTTACTATTCCCTCTCTCTCACTGGGTGATCAGCTGGGCTGCTCTTATTGACTGAGGAACTAAGCGATCAACTGGGCAGTCTGCAAGAAATGTTACCTCAGCATTCTCCTGGATTCTTGCAGGTGTCACACTCTTCGGAATAGTTGCTATGTTTCTCTGGACATGAAACCGCAACAAGACCTAAGTATGATAAATTATAATTAGTTCTGACAGTAAGATATACGATGGACACAGGACAGCTGTGTGAAAGAACTGATCCTGGGATTGAGTTTGAATCCTGTTCAGTTAGAGTGTGGAGCCTCACTTCCTAAAGCGCTGTGCTTAAAAACAGAGCAAATTAAGCAAGTTTGGCCAACAACTACAAAGAATGTGAAGACATCCATGATGGCATAGGCCGGTGAATAGACACATTGTATAATGGAGAAATGCCAGGTCACAGATTTTGAGACAGCAAAGAATGAAAATGAATGCCCAAAGGAAATGCATTGAAGAATACAGTGAAGCGGTAAACTCCTAGAACAAAAAGGAATGGGAACAGAGATGGAGAAAAGTCATGGAAAGGCCACGGCAATTTAGCTGCTGCAAATGTGGGCAGGGGATACAAAAGCAAAGAGGTGCTGAAGGCAGAGTCACTGTTAGAGGTCAAGTACCTTATTATAGAAGAAACACTGAAATCACAGTGAGGAGAAATTGCTTTTCAGAAAGGGATGTTTAAGAATGGAATATATTGACACATAGAGTAGTTGAAGTAGTCATTCCCTTTACCATTTAAAATCCCAAGCTATTTTGTCCCATGCTCGGTCCCCAATATGCTTCACTCAGAGAAGGTAAATTCACATACAAACAACTTACAGAGTTTTATTGAATTTTATTGAGAAAAGTGGGATAATTATTTGAAACAGAGTAAATATGAGGTCTTGAAAACAGTGGGTCAGTGGGAATGATACAGGTATTGGGAAGAGTGTATGAGTGCGATTAGCTTAGAATGGAAAGACAATGAAATAGTGTCCATTTGTCAGTCCACTGTTTACCAATAAGCTTTTTAATAAAAATCTTACATCCATCGCACCTGGGCTGGGCTCTTCTTGTGTTTCTCTGCTATTGTTTTTACCACTGGATCTTTGAGAAGGTCCTTTGGATCTGCAGAATCATTCAATCTGTAACAGAAAATTGTTCATAGATTCGTCATTTTCCCCGTAATTAGAACCTTCATGTCCTGCAGATTGTTTCAAACTCCTGACTGATTACATGGGACCAGACGTGACTTTTACTTCCGATGCAATGGTACCCAAGGACTGGCAGCTGAACCAGACTGTTTGCAAACCTGGTGTTTTGACCCCAAGTTGTGCAATGCCCACATCACATAAACACATAAAAGGTACAGTGCAGCAACTTAGTAAATTTCTCTTCTACAGACTTGAAGGGAGCTGAAAATGCAGCATAGAAAGAAGAGTGGTGGAAAAGCAAGTGGAACAAGATGGTAAATATGGAGAAAAGTCATGAAAAGGCCAAGACAATTTCGCTGCTGCAAATTTGGGCAGGGAGTACAGAAGTAAAGAGGTGCAGAAGGCAATGATGCTCCAGCCAAAGAGACAAAGATCAGCACAGAATAGTCGTAAATGAAGCACAAAATTTGCTGCAAGTGGTAAGGAGATGCAGCTTTTGGACTCCAATTCTGTATTATTGTTTATAAGTAACATATAATCTGATACAGTCAGAGTAATTTGGCTTGGAAACAGACCCTTCAATTCATGCTGACCAATTTCAAACATAACAACTATTTAGTTAAACGACTAAACCCTATGTTCTAATTTGATTAATACATAATGTAAATTAATTAAAAGCAAACTTTTACTGAAAGTTGCCACCCAGGTTGATAGCGTTGTTAAGAAGGCGTACAGTACGTTAGGTTTTATTGGTAGAGGGATTGAGTTTCGGAGCCATGAGGTCATGTTGCAGCTGTACAAAACTCTGGTCCGGCCACACTTGGAGTATTGCGTACAGTTCTGGTCACCGCATTATAGGAAGGATGTGGAAGCATTGGAAAGGGTGCAGAGGAGATTTACCAGGATGTTGCCTGGTATGGAGGGAAGGTCTTATGAGGAAAGGCTGAGGGTCTTGAGGCTGTTTTCGTTAGAGAGAAGAAGGTTAAGAGGTGACTTGATAGAGACATACAACATGATCAGAGGATTAGATAGGGTGGACAGTGGGAGCCTTTTTCCTCGGACGGTGATGGCTAGCACGAGGGGACATAGCTTTAAATTGAGGGGTGATAGATATCGGACAGATGTCAGAGGTAGGTTCTTTACTCAGAGAGTAGTAAGGGCGTGGAATGCCCTGCCTGCAAAAATAGTAGACTCGCCAACTTTAAGGGCATTTAAATGGTCATTGGATAAACATATGGATGATAATGGAATAGTTTAGGTTAGATGGGCTTCAGATTGGTTTCACAGGTCGGCGCAACATCGAGGGCTGAAGGGCCTGTACTGCGCTGTAATGTTCTATGTTCTATGTTTACAGGATAAAATGGAAGGTGACGTTCTGTAACTACAGCATATGGGATCTTCTGTCAACATTTTTTCCAATGTCCACTGCCTTGGTAAACACCAATACAAAGCACAAAACAAAATATTGTTGTGATCCCAACTGATTTTATTTGCGGACAACTCAAGTAATGGACCGAAATCTGGCTTGACAGATCACACTTTGTTGTTTTTGGTTTTAATGGTGGTCGTCCACTGAAACACAGCCAGCAATGCTGCAGATTCAGATTTAATAACAAAACAGAAAATTATTTTGTGAAATAAATGAAGATCAAATAGAAAAGAAACTGAACTATTTACTCGTAACACAAATTAAAAAATTTCAAAATGCACAGTAAAATACAATACTCCTTTACAGCACTCACACTAGACAGAATTTCCTGCTCCTTCACATCTATAGGACACAATTTAACTGTGGCTTCAATTCTCTGCTTTAAGAATCTAATAGCCTCTCCACGGAGACTTCATACAACTGAGCTTATACTTTCTCAGCTGCAAATAGCCCCTTCATGGTTTAATCAACCACTTCTGGTCATACCAATATATTACCTCATCCAATATGAGCCTTTAGTTTCCAGCATGCAGTATTACCCATTTATGTCAACATCTCTGGGTGCATGTACACTTTGCCAACAGAACAGGTTATTGACATTTCTGATCAAAGATGCTGGTAGATGATATGCTGTCTACATTTTAATATGTTTGAATGGGGGATATGTCAAGCCACAAGGTTGCAGGCTGTGCTGGAGTACAATACTGTTATTGTTGGCTCACAGCACCTCATGAATGCCCAGTTTTGAGTTGCTACATCTAGAACATAGAACAGTACAGCACAGTACAGGCCCTTCAGCCCACGATGTTATGCCGAACTTTTACCCTAATTCTAAGGTCTATCTAAACTCCACCGCTACCTATTACTATTACTATCTGTTCAAAGTCTGTCCCATTTAGCACGGTGATAGTGTTACACAATATGGAGGATATTCTCAATGTGAAGGCAGGACTTCATCTTCAAAAGGACTGTGAGGTTGTCACTCTTTCTGATACTGTCATGGACAGGTGCATCTGCAATCGGCAGACTGGTAAGGATATGGTTAAATACACTTTTCCAACTTGTTGATTCCTTCACCACATGCCGCAGACCCAGTCTAGCAGCTATATCCAGTAGGATATGACCAGCTCAATCAGTAGTGCTGCTGCTGAGCCACTCTTGGTGGCCGACATTGAAATCCCCCACCCAGAGTATATTTTGCACCCTTGCCATCCTCAGTGCTTCCTCCAAAAATTGTACAACATAGAGGAGTACTAATTCATCAGCTGAGGGAGGAGGTACATGGTAATCAGCAGGAAATTTCCTTGCCCATGTTTAACTTGAAGTCACAAGACTGCAAGAAGGGGTCCAAAGTGAATGTTGAGGACTTCCAAGGCAAGCCCTTTCCTCCCACTGTGCTGCCATCTCTGCCGGGTCTGTCTTGCTGGTGAGACAGGACTTTTCTGGGGGTGATGATGGTGGTTCTGGGACATCATCTGTAAGGTACGATTCTGTGAGTGTGACTGTGTCAGGTCATTGCTTGACCAATCTGTGAGACAACTCTCCTAATTTTGCTATTAGCCTCCAGATGCAAATAGAACATAAAACATAGAACAGAGAACAGTATAGCACAGTACAGGCCCTTCAGCCCACTATGTTGTGCCGACCTATTATCCTACTAAGATCAATCTACCCTGCATACCTGACGTTTTACTATCCTCCATGTGCCTATCCAAGAGTCGTTTAAAAGTCTCTAAAGTATCTGACTCCATGACCACTGCCGGCAGCGCATTCTACACACCCACCACTCTCTGTGTGAAGAACCTACCTCCGACGTCTCCCCTACACCTTCCTCCAATCACCTTAAAATTATGGCCCCTCATAATAGTCATTTCCGCCCTGGGAAAAAGTCTCTGACTATCCACTCTATCTATGCGTCTCATCATCTTGCAAACCTCTATCAAGTCACCTCTCATCCTTCTTCGCTTCAATGAAAAAAGCCTAGCTCCTTCAACCTGTCCTCATAAGACCTGCCCTCTAGTCCAGGCTGCATCCTTGTAAATCTCCTCTGCACCCTCTCTAAAGCTTCCAAATCTTTCCTGTAATGAGGTGACCAGAACTGAACACAATATTCCAAGTGTGGTCTAACCAGAGTTTTATAGAGCTGCAGCATAACCTCATGGCTCTTAAACTCAATTCCCCTACCAATGAAAGCCAACACACCATACGCCTTTTTTACAACCCGATCAACTTTGGTAGCAACTTTGAGGGATCTATGGATGTGGACCCCAAGATTCCTCTGTTCCTCCACACTGCCAAGAATCCTGCCATTAACCCTGTATTCTGCATTCAAATTCAACCTTCCAAAATGAATCACTTCACACTTTTCTGGGTTGAATTCCATCTGCCACTTCTTTGCCTAGCTCTGCATCCTGTCAATGTCCCAGTGCAACCTACAACAGCCCTCCACGTTGTCCATAACTCCACCAACCTTTGTGTCATCAGCAAACCTATTAACCCCCCCTTCCACTTCCTCATTCAAGTCATTTATAAAGATCACAAAGAGCAGAGGTCCCAGAACAGATCCCTGCGGATCACCACTGGTCACCGAGCTCCAAGCTGAATACCTTCCATCTACTACCACCCTCTGTCTTCTATTGAACAGCCAATTTTGTACCCAGCCAGACAAATTTCCCTGAATCCCATGCCTCCTTACTTTCTGAATGAGTCTACCATGTGGAACCTTGTCGAATACCTTGCTAAAATCCATACACACCACATCCACTGCTCTACCTTCATCAATGTGTTTTGTCACATCCTCAAAGAATTCAATAAGGCTCGTGAGGCATGACTTGCCCCTCACAAAACCATGCTGACAATTTCTAATCAAACTGTGCTTTTCCAAATAATCATAAATACTATCTCTCAGAATCCTCTCTAATAATTTGCCCACCACAGAAGTAAGACTGACTGGCCTGTAATTTCCAGGATTATCCCTATTCCCTTTCTTGAACAAGGGAATGACATTTGCCACCCTCCAATCTTCTGGCACTACTCCAGTGGACGGTGAGGACGCAAAGATCATTGCCAAAGGGGCAGCAATCTCTTCCCTCGCTTCCCGTAGAAGCCTTGGGTATATCCTGTCTGGCCCAGGTGTCTTATCTATCCTCATGTTTTTCAAAATTTCTAGCACATCCTCCTTCCTATCAACAACCTGTTTGAGCATATCTGCCTGTTTCATGCTGTCCTCACAAACGTCAAGGTCCCTCTCACTGGTGAATACTGAAGGTCATTAAGGACCTCCCCTAATTCCTCTGACTCCGTGCACAAGTTCCCTCCACTATCCCTGACTGGTCCTACCCTCACTCTGGCCATCCTCTTGTTCCTCACATGAGTATAGAAAGCCTTGGAGTTTTCCTTGATCCTACCTGTCAAGGTTTTCTCATACCCCCTTCTAGCTCTCCTAAGTCCATTCTTCAATTCCTTCCTGGCTACTTTGTAGGCCTCGAGAGCCCTGTCCGATCCTTGCTTCCTCAACCTTAAGTAAGCTTCCTTCTTCCTCTTGACTAGGTGTTCAACATGT